ATGGGTGTTTTTTTTTTGATGATGATCATGTTACACGATATTCGGAATCTTTCGTGTGTGACATGATGAGGCCTGGGTCCCGGGTCACGTGGATTTCACGATCATCCGATTTCACCATCATCCGCGACATTTATTATGCATTATATTAAAATTGGCCAATTTTTGAAATAAAAATTTTTTTATGTAACTTATGTTGTGCACAAGCTAATTTGTTGAAATTATTAGGCACAACAATAAACGTTTTTTTAAATACGAATATATTACATATAATAGTAAATATCAATGTAGCTAGATTGTTTATTTTTTATTTTTTTGAAAACGCCGATAGGCGTAAGATTGTTTATTTTAAATATATAGTTTAATAAATATTCATTATACTCGGTCCAATAGGTCCAACGAACATGGACATTGAAAATTTACAATGCTTAATACACGATTAAAGCTTTTATATTAAAAATTTAATTAGAGAACAAAATATTCAATAAATATATAATCATTTTATCAACAATGTACAACAATGATTATACTCACTTGATAAATTAACGAAAACAAGATCTAGTTTTTCAAATAAAAATCTAATCACAACCGATCGATCAATACCCTTTAAACATTGAGTACAATTAAAATTAGCGCAGTTGGTTATTTTCCAATCGTGTTTGAAAATTTTGAGATCGACGCAGAACAACATTGCCTTATACATGGGACAGTTGATACAAAGTTGGACCATTCAAGACATTGATAAATTAAATTTCTATTTATATCTATTTATATGTCTTGAAAATATAATAATTTTTTTTTTTGAGCATAAGAACGTTCAGAATTGCCAAATCGTTGGTAAAAATCATTGGTAAAAATACATTCAACAAAAAAATTTGGTTTTTCACATCTTTCGCCAAATTTTTCGTTAACATGACCTTATCTTGTGAACCAAATAATCTTTTGCCGGTTTGAAATTTACATAATGATCTTCACTATGTTGTAAATCATAGGATATCGCATATTCTGATGCGTGTTGCAATTAGTTTATAAAAATTTTCGACTAGTTGTTACAAATCGGGCCAAAAGATGCAATCGATTAGTTGGGCAAACTTTTTTTTAAAAATCGATTAGAAATTGATCGTAACCACCCATAGTAATAGTAATCGACTAATCGATTATTGCAGTTTACAATAATTTGTAGACAAAAAAAAAAAGAAATCGATGATTTCTGATTTCTTAATACTTTTCTTTTGCAGAAATAGAAGTTGTAGATTCATTATTTTGTAACATATTTGATTTATTGCGGTTTGCAAAAAAAAAATGTGAAATTTACATAATTCTTATAAGATTGAATTTAGTGCAGCTTTTAAGTTTTCTTCTTATCATGCAATAGTAAATTTTACCGGGCTAGAAAAGAAACAAAATTTAATATTACACAATCAAGTTCCTTACAACATAAAGAGTATGCAAAATATATTCCTACAAAAGATGCTAAAATAAAATTTGTTACAAAATTATGAATCTACAACTTTTATTTCTGCAATCAGAATCAGAAATCATCGATTTCTTTTTTTTTTTTTTTGATCTGTAAATTTCACATTTTTTTTTCAAACCGCAATAATCGATTAGCAATGGAACACTACTTTCGAAAGTTCTTCAGCCTTACTAATATAGGGGGCTTTAAAGGTATATGGACCAATTTCATTGAACTTCTGACGATTTCACACCCAAATGATACTAGTGTGGCGAGTGTGGAAAGTATGACTCATAATAGATATTAAAATAAAATGTACTTACCCGTGCCAAATCCCGTGCCGATTCGACTAGTAAACTGCTGTAAAACCCGAGCAAAATTTACGGTCCAATTGGCACACTGGCATACGGTCCCACAAAGGCCGTGCCGATCCAGTACATTTTTCTTATAGTGAAAGTCATATGGGTATAAATGCAGAATTTCCACAGAGAATCATCAGCACTATTTTAGTGTAACAAAAAAACGGTTCCAATCCTTAATTTCGATAACAATTAGTACTAGGTAACAAAAAATTTATGCAATAAATATTTTTCTGTTACGTATTATATATAAGTGAAACCACAGTATGACTTTTGAATTACTTTTCATTTTAAACTTATAGAATAAAACATGATCAAAAAATTATTGAACCAAACTTTTAATGAAAAAATTACAACGAATGAATTTAATAAGTATTTAAAATCCGCAAAAAGTGGTGATCATAATGGACAATGTAATCTAGGATGGTGTTACCAAAATGGTATAGATATAGATAAAGATGAAAAAAAAGCATTTTAATGGTATTTAAAATCTGCTGAAGGTGGTAATTCTAATGGTCAAAATAATCTCGGATTTTGCTATGAAAATGGTATAGGTACATATAAAGATGAGAAAAAAGCATTCGAATGGTATTTGAAATCTGCTGAAGGTGGTAATTCTCGTGGACAATGTAATCTTGGATGGTGTTACGAAAATGGTATAGGAGCTGATAAGAATGAAAAAAAGGCATTTGAATGGTATTTAAAATCTGCTGAAGGTGGTAATTCCCTTGGTCAAAATAATCTTGGATGTTACTACCGAGACGGTATAGGCACAGATAAAGATGAACAAAAGGCGTTTGAGTGGTATTTAAAATCTGCTGAAAGTGGCGATTCTCTTGGACAAAGTAATCTTGGTTGGTGTTACGAAATTAGTATAGGTACAGATAAGGATGAAAAAAAGGCATTTGAATGCTATTTAAAATCTGCTGAAGGTGGTAATTCTCTGGGACAAAATAATTTCGGATGCTATTACCGATATGGCATAGGTATAGACAAGGATGAAAAAAAGGCATTTGAGTGGTATTTGAAATCTGCTGAAGGCTGTAATTCTCGTGGGCAATGTAATCTTGGATGGTGTTACGAAAATGGTATAGGCATAGATAAGGATGAAAAAAAGGCATTTGAATGGTATCTAAAATCTGCAGAAGGTAGTAATTCTCATGCACAATGCAATGTTGGATGGTGTTATGAAAATGGCATAGGCACAGATAAAGATGAAAAAAAGGCGTTTGAATGGTATTTGAAATCTGCTGAAAGTGATAATTCTCTCGGACAAAATAATCTCGGATGTTGCTACCGAGATGGCATAGGCGCAGATAAAGATGAAAAAAAGGCATTTGAATGGTATTTGAAATCTGCTGAAGATGATAATTCTCGTGGACAATGTAATGTTGGATGGTGTTACGAAAATGGTATAGACACAGATAAAGATGAAAAAAAGGCTTTCGAATGGTATTTGAAATCTGCTGAAGGTGGCAATTCTCTCGGACAAAATAATCTTGGATGTTACTACCGTGATGGTATAGGAACAGCTAAAGACGAAAAAAAGGCATTTGAGTGGTATTTTAAATCTGAAGAAAGTGGTAATTCTCGTGGACAATGCAATGTTGGATGGTGTTACGAAAATGGTATAGGCACAAATAAAAATGAAAAAAAGGCATTTGAATGGTATTTAAAATCTGCTGAAGGTGGCAATCCTCTTGGACAAAATAATCTTGGATGTTGTTACCGAGATGGTATAGGCACAGACAGAAATGAAATAAAGGCATTTGAATGGTATTTGAAATCTGCTGAAGGTGGTAATTCTCGTGGACAATGTAATGTTGGGTGGTGTTATAGAGATGGCATAGGAATAGATACGGATGATAAAAAGGCATTTGAGTGGTATTTAAAATCTGCTAATGGAGATAATTTTCGTGGGCAATGTAATCTTGGATGGTGCTACCAATATGGCGTAGGCACCGATATGGATGGAAAAAAGGCATTTGAGTGGTATTTAAAATCAGCTGAAGGTGGTGATTCACTTGGACAAAAGAATCTTGGATGGTGTTACCAAAATGGCCTAGGCACAAACACGGATGAAGAAAAAGCATTTAAGTGGTATTCAAAATCTGCTGAAGGTTAGCTTGTCGGTTATTGGCAAACCGACTGTCGTCAGTCGCTGAATAACCGGTCAATGACTGGCCGTTTATCGGTTAAATAGCTTGAACCTGCTGCAAAGGATTGTTATTGTTATCACATGGATGATTATATATATATATATATATATTTATATAACTTGATTTTCTTCCTAAGACCAAGTAGATTGTATTACATAGACTGATTAAATTGATTACGAATTTATTTATTTTATACATACATCTAACTGTAATATCTCTGGGAGTGCCGGCTAAATATACTTGTATAGTAATGGGAGTTAATTAAAAAATATATAATATATGTAACCTGAATTTCTAATATTTTCTAATAAATTGTAATTTTTTTACACGGTGACGACATATATTTTGAATATAAGCAATTAGAAAAAAATGATTATTAAAATGTAAAATGTAGAATGGAAACTAAATACTATAGAATAGAAATCAGGAAAATAACAACTTCAAGATATTGCTTTATTTTGCATATTACGCACACTTGTACAGAACTATAATCAAGTATGGAGACCTTAAGTTCTATAATTCTAAAATTAAAATAATTGATTACCATCCAACTACATGCCCATCTCCTCTAAAATCACTGCCAGCAGCCCAAACTCTCTGCCCACTTTTCGGATCAAATTTTTGTTCAATAATTTGACCCCTTCCAAACATTTCTCTTTTAAAGTCTTTAACTATTTTAACATGATGACCCAGTTTTTTCAACTCATTTATAACTTTATCCGATATACCATCTTCAATATTCACATATGAAATTGAAGACATTTCAGTCAAATATGTGCCACGCGGTTCGATTAGGATTCGTGGAGAATCAAGAGCGGTTTGTGGATTACAAGAATGATGAAGAAGATTTAAAAGTACTTGAACATGCCCTTGTGGCTGTAAATTTTTAATATTAATTTTTTTTTTAAAAAAAAAAAAAAGTAGTAAATACACCATGTATAATAATAATAAAATAAATACCTGCATAAAAGCTCCCATAACTTTTGTCATAATGCCAAAAAGTTTATAAGTTGAGAATAATATAGTGAAGTTATGCTTATGGATAAATCACGTACCACCAAAAGATAACCATAATTCATCTTTTCTAGTAGCAATTGCTGGTATAATAGTATGGAAGGGTCTTTTACATGGTTCAAGACAATTAGGATGTCCTTTCTCTAGAACAAATCCACCCCCACGAGCATGAAGTGTGAAACCACAACCTTCAGGAATTACGGCCTATAAACAAATAGAAAGTTTAATTATAAAGTTACCTTAATAAGCATAAATAAGACTTACAGTTCCAAATCTGTGATAGTTCGAATTCTAATTATGTTATTAAAAGTGTAGAATAATTAGCACCTTATTGTGGTAACATAAGAATGATAGATTATTAAAAATTTCATACAATATAACTACACGCATTTCCTTCATCATCAACTACAGAAAAATAAACAGTATCGCTTGATTTTACAGGTGACCCCCTATCAACATCAACATTTGCTTTTGTAGGATCAAAGAATTGTGCCCGTTTTGAAAGGTATTCCTATTAAAATTATATATTAAATATTTATATTAAAATTATTTATTAAAAAAGATTATTAGAATTATTATTAAGTCTGTATTTTCGTATATTAGGATTCCATCTCCCTTTTTATATTAGAGTTACAACAACACTTGCCTTTGATAATAATTCTTTTGTTACATCACAAAAGTCGGGATCTGCTACATAATGTGTGGAATCCGCGAATGCTATTCGTAAACTTTCAATAATGACATGCAAATACTCTGCTGAGTTATGCCCCATTTCACTGAGATCTCTTATTTTACCACTTTCTTGAAGTGACTGAATTATACCGAGAGCTATAAGAACTGTGATACCTTTAAATATTATGCAAAATAAAAGTGATGTAAATCATCAAATCACCGAATAATGGCCTAGATTGATAAGTATGGACAAACCTTGTCCATTAGGTGGACATTCCCATATCGTTGCATCTTTATAATCAATGCTTATAGGATCTACACGATCAGAAGTATGAGAGGCTAAATCATCTAAAGTCATGACTCCTCCTTTAGATTGTACAGTATCAACAATAGCTTGAGCGATTCGACCTTATGATTCATTATTTATAATAAATCAATCCTAAAATATTTATATGTAGCAATCTAATGTTATTGATTTATTACCTTTGTAGAATCCATCTTTTCCTTTTTCTGCCAATTCTCGAAAAGTTCTAATAATGAATTTTACATTTTAGATATGTAATTTATAAATTAAATGTTGACTAAATAAATCACCTAGCTAAATTAGGCATTCGCATTATTTCACCACATCTTGGAGCATGACCATCAATCAACATATCACATCCATTCGTCGAAGCACTAAGGAGTTCATCTTCAGCATCTTTCCACTATATTATTTATATTCAAAATTCATTTATAAAAATTTCACAAAGAATTTTTCGACGAATAAATGAATAATATACCATCCAAGCAGTTATTTCTGATACTGGATATCCATTTTCAGCTAAATCAATTGCAGGCTGTAATATTTCTGCCAATTTTAATTTCCCACTCCCAAACCAGTTGACAGTATCAACCCATCCGGCAGCGGCGCCAGGAACAGTTGCAGCATTGATATTTAATAATGGTATGCGATTTTCAACAATTCCAAGAACATTGCGTACATAATCTAAAGTAAGTTTAGTGGGTGATCTTAAATTTTAAAGTTTAAAAATTTAAAAATATATTAATTAAAATTAAAATTAAAACTTTTGTGTACCAACAAGTTGTTATGCAATGAATTAATATAAAATACCTTCCAGATCCATTCAAACCATTAACTTTCCTGGTCTTAGCATCATAAAAAAGACAAAAGCAATCTCCGCCTATTCCCGTAGAAGTTGGTTCTTTACAATGGATTAAATCACAAAGTAAATAAGTGCAAATTGGCAAGATACAATAATTACAATACTATGTAGAATATGATACCGGTCACATTTAATGCAGCAGCTGAGTTTACAATCAAAGAAAAACATTATCATTATCGTATATTCAAATCACATAAATTCAAATTACATAAATATTTAATTTCTTTAAAACAAACCAACGGCAACAGCAGCATCCTGTACCACAATAGAGAATAAATCAAAAAGGAAAACCATAAATCGTTCGATGTTATAAATAAAGATATATGTCAAATAATTACCGCAGCATTCCCGCCCTTTTTTAATATATCTAAACCTGCCTGGCATGCTAAAGGTTGACTATGTATACACAAAGAAGTCATTATCATGAATGTGCATGAATCATTGAATCAGAGATGTCAAGTTTAGCTTTTTTATAGCAGCTGTAAACTTTAATTTGATTGAATTCATTTACAAATACTACTATTGAATTAAGCAGTTCAATCAACTCTGGATATAACGAACCTTTAACAAAAAATTTCTTTCAAATTTTATTACAAGATCAATAAATACATCAATACGGTATATAGGTTTCTACAATATTTATTAATTGAATTATAAACTTTTGCTTAGATCTGTATAAAAAATTAGCGATCAATTTTTTTGAAAAACTATTATTAAAAACCATCAATTCGTTACATCCAGATTTTATCCCGCATCATTCATTAGTTGTCCTACTGACCTACATGCTACCATTGCATGAGTACCGAACACTACGGATCTTCGTGATGGAAAGCGAATAAATGGCTCCGATTCTGCCATCTTTAATCTAAAGAACCATAAAAAAAATTCGTAAAATTTATGTAATGCAGGTGTCATGTGCAATATAAACCCTGCATTACTGCAGATCATACATTGGGATCAGATTACAGTACTAGAGAAGCTCAAATAACCGCCTTTACTAAAATGGTTCTCGAAAGTTTAAATGCCTGGGTAGTTTTTGTAATTAATCGTCCTTTCGACTCAGAAGCCCTCAATGTTGACAGCTTTTTACTGGTACTACTTATAGTCGGCTGTATATTATACACGTTTTTCTCGCTTGTATTCAATCTCGCGCAGCGAACCACTAGCCCACTACCTTCTAAGCAAAATAATAATAAAGATCAGCCACCTCGAGAACCACAGGCGCAAAAGGAAAAGCTCGTTAAATTATCTAGGTTCGTGCATGTTAAAAAATTTGTTTCGTATAAACTTGATTTAAAATCTATATATCACAAATTTCCATTTATAAGTTTTTTCTTTTAATAAATAGGTTCACGACAACATATATTGCATTACCATCTCATGCAGACTCTCGAGGACTTGTTCCCGGAGGTGTTGTATTAAGTTGGATCGACTTAACTGCTGGAACGTCTGCAAAAAGGCATTCTGTATCCCACTGTGTAAAGCATTAATTTTCAAATCATTTCCTATTGTTCATTAGAATTAGTTCTTGCCAATTCAATTATCAACTTCTTTTATTTTATAGGTTACAAGAAGCTTTGATGCTGTACATTTTATGCATCCGATCAGAGTTGGCGATTTAATTATAATTGTGTCAAGCGTAAACAAGTCATGGAATACTTCAATGGAGGTAAATAAATTTGAGTTCTTGATACTTATTGTTGATTTAACTTGATTCGAATTATATTCATTATTCTTTACCCTTTTGTATTTTAGGTTGGTGTACGTGTAGAAACGGAACATCCAATAACCGGAAAGCGGAAATATTGCTGTCAAGGTAAATAAGACATTATTATTATTATTTATTTATTTTTTGCTTTTTAGGATTTATTATAATTTGTTGATTAAAATTTATTGAATGATTAAATAGCATATTTAACATTTGTTGCTCTCAGTTCTGAAAATTCGAGGATTCAAATAACTACAAGATCACCGAGTTCTACTGTAACTGTACCTCAAATTTTACCAAGTACAGCCATTGAAGCACATCGCTACGAATTAGCTGAACAACGTCGTCAAACACGTATATCTCACTCAAAAGAGGCACAAATAGAACGAGATAAATTGACTAAAGTACGAGAAGTAATGCGAGAATGGGCAGATCACTTGAATATGGAAACAATGAGTAATGCTGAGATACCACCTCTTTTACAAGAACCAGATGCTTACGAAGAACGGGACGATAATTCCGACAATGATCCTGCAAGATTATATCTTCACAGGAGAAGATCAACATTGCAAGGTGTCTTACCGGCGCAACCAGATGAAAGGTTGGTGTCTGAGAGTTTTGCGGAAATAGCGGATATTATTTTACCACAGCATGCCAATACATTGCAGGTACAAGATTTTATTCTAAATTTCTTATGCTGGACGTAATTATAGGCTTTCAACAGAAAATAATTACTCAATATATATGAAGTTTTCTGGTACATTCACCTCTTATAAGTGAATGTTTTAAAATATCAAAATTCAAACCTACAAGATTATTAATACTAAATTATGCTTTATATTAGATTACATTTGGTGGTCACATTATAGAATTAATGGAACAATGCGCTCTTGTCAGTGCTTATAAACATTCCAGAAGATATTTATTATTAGCGAGGTAATTTATCACTTTGCTAGTCTCCATTGGAAAACTTTTGCACAGCATTTTACATTTATATATGCTTTTTATAGTATCGACTCTCTTCAATTTATTAGACCAACTTATGTTGGTGATTGTATGAATTTCTGCTTATTTTTGATCTGTTATTTATTTCAAAAATTTTGTAAATCATTTTTATATTTATATAGGTGTAACTGTACGTTCTATCGTGTCCTGCACATTCCATTCAAGTTTAGAAATATATGTATCTGTTGAGGCTGGTAAATATTGAATATATATATGTTGTGCTAAAGGTGTATTAAAATTAATATATGACTATTTTGTATGTTGTTTTATGCAGAAAATCTCTTAACGGGTGAAAGGTTCTTTACTAATGATGGGTTCTTCACAATAGGTTGATTTTTACATAATCTGTCATTACTGAATAAAAATAAACATATTAACATGTGTTATTATTATAATTAGTTGCTGTCGATTTTTCAAACCAACCATCCCCTGTTCCACACATTAAACCAGATCAACCACAAGTGGTTGAGTTATTTGAAGGCGCAAAAGCGCGGAGAAATCGTCGACTTCTGCAACGTAAAGAAATAATACAAAAAGAATTGTCTACGCATCCTGAAGAATTTGAACAGGTATAATTGAATTTCTTACAGTTAGATCTCTCTAAATGTATTCTATATGGATCAAATTTTTATCGACACGTACTTAGAGAACAATAAGGCATTTATGGGAACAAGTATATGTTGTAAGTAGTGATGGGCAATTTGCAGTTTTTACAAAAATCCCGCGCGGGATGCGGGATTCGCGGGATTGTTTACTGGAATTATGTAAAATTTGGCCGGAATTATGTAGTGGCCCGAATTATCCCACGCATCACATGATGAATACCGCGCGATGCCCATCACTAGTTGTAAGTGAGGAATATAATAAAGTGGGTTCGGAATTCTTTAATTGAATTAGAATTTTAGAGTAGAATTTATTATAGTAACCTAACCCCATTTTAGTTAAGAAATTCCGAATGCCCGTTTTCATTTACAACATATATATTTGTACCAGAATGAGTGGTAGAGAGAATACATTCAGAGAGTCTTATAGAATGTTTATTGTTTAATTTCAAAATGAGAGTTTATAAGTGAAAGTGATTTGGTGAATTCTAAAATGTTAATTTTTATCCTCTTACTAGTTTGCGAGTAAACAAGAATCACCGTAATATTTAAGTGGTGACAATCATGCTACTCATGTAAGCATGATGGTTTCTTCCATTATAGGTTTCATCTATTAACCAGTGTACATAATTGAGTATTGAAAATAAATATAAAGAGACTTTCCAATTTGAGTTTATAAAGTTCGCGTAAAATATATGTATTTGATGCTAGAGTATGACAATAACGCTTATATATATTCATTAGTTGGCTACTTGTCAAATGTATCGTAAGATTCATTTCCTCCTTAAACATAATTTAACGATATAGCTTGACATACAGTCCTAATGTGTCCTAATGTATAGTTTATAATTATTACAGTCTTCCTCCTCTATAATCACCCATACAAAACCGTGATTATAAAAGAGTGTGATTATATAATATTCATCCTATATAATCACATTAATAAAAAAGTAGAGTAAATATTTGAGCGCCGGCTCCGCTTTCAGATCCGACTCCTGATAAATTTAAATTAAGCATAACATAAATTATATTGTTTTTTCGGGGTTTGATCTGTAAAATTAATTTCAATTACAGGTTTTCGCTTTGCAGCGACGAACCAAGTATCACCCTAAAGATCAGTTACGTTTTCGGGCTCGATATTTATTTAACTCCGAATTTTAATTTGC